AGAGAGAGATACAAAAAGTATTATATTTTTAAATGCAAACTGCTTCCGTTTATTGGCTAAATATGTATCAGCTTTTGAACAAAACCTTTTTGGTTTGTGTTGCGCAACATGAAGTTGAAAACTTTCACTGCTGCTTGGCTCTGAGGCATATATGGATTTCATGACTTACTTTTTAAGGTCTTGAGCAGAGAAAGATTTGTCTTTGTCTATTTTACCATGGGTCTCTCAACCTGGGCTCCTGGCCAGGGTGTGCAGGGGGAGAAGAAGGGAGGAAGACAGGGAAAGAGAGTCATGGAGTGAGTTGGTGAGGGGGGGGATGGGCGGGGCAGGGGGTTGAGGAGGGGAGTAATGGAATGTAGTGGTTTGGAAAGACAAGCTAATTGAAACCAGGTTTGAGGCAGAGCAGGGGGGAGAGCTGAGACTTTGCACGTTTGGGGAAAAGAAAAAGAGGCATTTCTGAAACCCTAAAGTCAGGGGATTATTTTCTTTCCCATAATATATTTAAAGCCTAAAATGGCATCATTTCAGCTGTGGTTTAAAGTAGAATCACTGCATGTAGTGCTGCCTATATTTTATGTGAAGTGGGTGTATAAGTTGAGAAACAGGAGTCAGAAAGATCCTTTGTTTAATCTCACTTGGAAGTCAAATTTCATTGTGCTGTTGCGTGTCCTCTGCAGCTCCCTCCTGCCACACCCAAAAGTCACTTTAGAGGAGTGTTAGTGAGAGCTGATTTTTGCCCTGCTCTGCGTAGTCTTTTCTACAACGTGCACTTAACTCACACTGGGTGACTCACAGCTGTACATGTGTGGCATTTCTCAAATTGCTCTAGTCAAGGTGATTGATTATAACACAGGCTGCTTAAAGGGCCAAACGTAGTGATTGTTATTTAATCGGCATTATGTTTAGCGTTTTTAGCTTTACTTGGTGATAATATGGTGTGAATAACCAAACTAAACATGATATTTCAGGTGTAGAGTTTTGCTTCAAGAGAGGGTGTGGACCTTAAACATAATAAATTTGAAGCATGATTTATATTTCAGCTGCTCAAACATTCAGAGCTGCTCCTAACCGCCCCAAAGCTGAAATGCTCGTCAGTTAACAGGGCCTCATCTTGGCCTGGGGTGGATACTGTTTGTCTAAATACTTGCTCTGTCTACCAGTGCAGCAGTACAGAGGGTACATTATTTTGTCACCTAGCAATGTAGGTCACTTGGAATTCCAAAAAGCACACCTTGAAATTTTAAAGCTTCATTGATCACATTTTTCTTTTTCTTTCACTCCGATGTTGCGGCTCCTCTCACCCATGTGACAACCAGCGTCGTTAGTAGGAAGAACTGGAAGAAGAGCATGCCGCATGACAGTTTGGAGCCTTGACAGTGTTGAGATGCTTATCGCAATTCTCTGCCAGCGCAACTGCGTATTCTCGCAGTGTTGACTGACAGCACAGGCCCGAGGAATGGTGTTACTCATATGTTCCAGTATAAAATGCAAGGAAACTGGTCTCTGGCATGCTTCCTCTGCTATTTCCTCATGGGTTTGTTGCGCGGGTGGTTGAAGAGGTGGGGCGGGGGGTGTTCAGTAAGCTGAAAGAAAGCGTGGTGGTTTCAAACAAACTATAGCGTATCCTTTTCACACTTGGCTTTCATTACGAAACCAAGCATTCCGGATGACTCCGTAGATGCACACCCTGGATATTGGTTGGATAAAACAATGCAAAATGTATAGAGTGAGAAGATTTTCAATGAGCAACATTTTTCTTCCCTAAAGTTGCAAATAAAAATTTAACCATAGTGTGCAATTTCAGAACGTCTTTCTAGGCAATCCACCCAGCAGCCACGCCCTTCTCACTCACCCACTGCTGGAATGTTTCAGTGTGTACTCAGTATTCTCTGTGGAGCGCCTATCATTAGCTTGCTTTGTTTTTGAGAAACAGTTATTTTAAATTTGCGATGAAATAGTCACAATAAGTCACAAATAATTCTGTGGCAACCACGCACCTGCGTGCAATTCAGACCATTTCACTGCAGATTTTAGCAATGTGGGACCTTCCCAAGCATGGAGCTCAAAAAGGGCGTGAATCATTTCTGTCTGATAAAGCAAGAACTCGCACCAGTACTCCTCCAAACATCTCGTATATAAAAAATATCAAAAGCCATCTGTTACTAAGCACTACTTGGAGATACATGCCCTAAATGTCAGGGCAACCATGCTTGGAATGTAAACTGAGAAATACATTCAACATGGTTTTTCTTTATCTGGCACAAGATATTCGAGGATGGAACTCTCGTGTGGTCTAAATAGAAGTGTGAATTGAAAGTACAATCCTGATGCTCTGTTTATGCTTCAGGTTCTTACAGCAAAGGAAGTCTCACATCTATATATACATTCTGCTGCTATGGTTGCCACCTAACTCCTACTCATAACCTTGTCCCCTGTTCCGTTAATGGACTTGTATTTGTTCTCATTCAAGCAGCAGCTGAATATATTGCCATGTTAAACTAAGCGTGGCAATTTTTTGGCGTGACCTGTTTAATGTGTCAGTAAGCCTCTTGTGATGTTCTTTTTATATGGCTGATCTGTTCAAACTTGGCGCTTATCTTTGGTCTAACTTGTTATGCCAGTTCAAAATTTACATCCTAGCTGCTTGATAGTCATGCCACTGAAACTATTGTTGGGCATCAGCCCAGGATCACTTCTCATTTAATAGCAGAACAGATCTTAAAAAATAGTTTGAATAAGCTTTTTTTTTTTTTCCAAATCAAATCAAGTTTTTTGTCTATAGCACAGTGTTACATATACAATCTCAAAGGCAGTTCTTGGTGTAATAATAGGAATGCAAAAAATAGGAATGCAAAGGAACAGGATCTCTAAAAAAAACCTGTAAGAACCCTCGAGAGAGGAAATTAAAACTGAGGTCTTAAATGTCTTGGTGTGTAATAGAGAACAAGCAGTTATGACAGAACTGTGCAGAGCTTAAAACGTATGTGAAAATCAAGGCAAAGCTGAAGTATGCTTCAAATGCAACCCCTCATTTCTGATTTTTTAAGAGCAAGAGAGGAGGATTTTAAGAGTTTCTTCAATTTTTCCATTTGGTGCATGACTCCTGCCAAAGTCACAATGGCTTAATCAGAAGCAGGCCAAGTTAGCGTCAGTGGGCAGGCTTTAGTCTTATGTTGGACTTGTGGTTTGCTTCAGGGCTATGTGGACTATGGAGTGCAGAAAACAACCAATTATTTTGACTCTCGTTCCTTTTATACACGTCACACGTGCACGTCCTATCTGCTTTTGTGAAGGAACATTGAAGGCCAGATACTGCTGTCTTCTTTGGTATTTCTTCGCTTTTGCTGTGTCTAAATACAATGCAGCAGGGGGGGAAAGAGAGTCTGTTTTATTTTGACAACAAGACTGATTAGGTCACTGGTCTTCTCTCCGTATCTGCCTTGCTGTACTGAGGTCTTTTTATCTGCTCATAATCAAATTTTATCAGAGCTCCACTCTGTGTGATACACTCTGAAATTGAGCCTTAATCATTGTCACATTGCTCCTCTTTTCTCATTACTAAATTGATTGGATTTGGCAATCAAATTGGTAGACGGATTAAAGCTGCTTTGATCAGTTTCCAGAATGTATTGACCTACTTAAGCACAAAGTACCGGTATGAAAGTTAACAGTCCAGGTTTGGAGGTATGTCTCTTTTTAAGTGATGGGGTGATGAGCTGGCTGCTGTTTACTGCGTCAGTGAAGCGCATGTTAAGCCAAAAGACACAAATGTAACCTCTCAATGCACATTTGACACACGTCTTAGGGTGCCATCACAGATGCACTGCTGACTTAACGTTGCATTTTTGCTTGTTTGAGTGGAACCTGGAGGTTGGGGGTGTGTGGTGGACTCATTGCAGGTGGGTGGGCACTCCAGCTGTGTGCGGGGTGGGCAGCACAAAATAAAGCTAGAGTTAGTGTCAGAAGGAGGACATTTCTTTGGAGTTAGTCACTGTAGGAGAGGTTGGGCTTTCTTCCAGCTGGCCTGAGGGCTCTATCAAGGAATGTGTGTGACTGGAGGCCTGGGTGGGGCTGTGCACTGTGCTACTCCCTCTGCAAGTAAAGCCGAGAGGCAAAGCGACACGATCTGTGTCGTGGACTGTGGTATGGTACTTCTGGGCACTGTGTGTTTTTATTTGCTTCCTTCACTGTTTGTTGACCACATTTTATCTTCCAGAAATACCTGCAGATGTGCTATGTGTGTGTGGTCTTACCAAGACACTGAGTAAAGAGGGTGGGGCAAACTGTCTCATATATTTTGATTTTGTTAAATCCGATATGCCTATTTCGTCATTTTCTATCATGACGTTGTAGCACAACACCTAAAAGCTTACACATATAACAACTTTATCACTAAGGCAAACACAGTGTCACATTTTCTTTAGTCTACCTTGTTGTATTCTGTGACATAACAGTCTGAATCAGTAACAGGGGCATGAGTATACACAGCTGCTGTGGTGCAAGTCTCACTTCACACATGTAATGCGAACCCATTACTGGCTGGTATTTTATCTCAGCTATGTATTCTATTGGTGCAACAGAAAGCAGGCCAAACTTTACTACGTTTTTTAAACTTTGCATCACTGTTAGGGGCTTTGTTACATTGCACAGGTATTAAAATCCGACTGTTCCATCTCACAAATATAGTAATGAGCAGTTTAGGTTATTGAACATAAAATGTTGGGAAGGGGGAAGTTAATGATGGGGTTGAAGAAGAATTTTCCTGAAGGGCATGTTCCCACTGGTGCTGCATGTCTCTGCGCACATCAAGTCTGGTTCTGTTTGTACTGAGACTGACAAAAAGAGGGCTTTGTTTCACAATAACACAATAATTGGCATAAGACCTGTAAGATGTTGGGCTAGTTACAGCACGTGTCTCACATTTTCAGCTTTGCCTTGATTTTCACAAACACAAGACTGACTTAGTGTAAAGAATGATGCTCAGAATTTAAATGATAGATTCAATTTAGGCAACAAACTTTGCTGCTATATTTGCTATTATTGCTTCGCATTTCTGCCTTTCTGTTGTGGTTTGATATTTTTACAGTCCTCCATGAAGCAGTGAAACTAAGGCAGATCAATGCATTAGCATTTTTAATGGTATACTTCCTCTCTGAATTCCTCTATAGCCAAATTTGCTTCATTTTTAATCAATTTCTAGCAAACCTACTTGTTGTAGTTTGGCTAGTTTGGAAACAAACAAGTGGTTAAATTTATTTAAAAAGACATATTTCCTTACCAGTGTCAACACTGCTTCCAGCTACTTGTTGGTTAATTATTAAAGCCTCTTAAGGTGATGATTGATCAGCATCAGTAGTCTACTACATTAGACTACTTTATAAACGTATCTAAAAAGAAGTAAAGGAATGAATACCTGTGATTAAGTCTAGTCATGAAAGTAAAAAGTGCAGGGGCTTTTTTGTAAATATTTTCTTATGCATAAGTATGGTAAGCTTGTAAGCTTCTAAAGTGAATCCCCACTTTTTCAGTTCTGCTTTTCCCATCTCTTAATGTGTAGGCTAACATTCTATAGCACAGCTAAATTTCATCACTTAATACTGAATCCTACCACAGCATTTGACTTTATCATTCATATGGAGATGCACCTCGTAACATAGCAGGGACTTCTATGTGGAAAAGACATGCATAGCTTTTTGTCATCTGTCAAGCATGTGACTGAAACTCAACTTTATATAGCAACATGGAATGTTATTGCAAAAGAGAGCAGCAAAGGTTTCTTTGCTGTCTTAGCAATACTTAATCTGTGTACAAATCATACTAATTGTGTTTTTTTTCTCAACAGAAGTCAAGAATACAAGAACAGAAGCAATAAACTGAAGCTCCTTGGCTTTGCTTGAGCAATCCAAGGTAAGTGAGTGCCCTTAAGTATATTGGAAACGATACAAAGAAAATCTATGATAGACTACATAAAAAAAGGAGAGAAAAAGAAAATCAATTTTCTTACTACCATCACTTTGCTCAAACACTAACTAGTCAGTGTTACCACAGAGCAGCATCTATTTTATGGTCAGACTGCAAACCACTTTTGGAATGTTTGCTGCAAAGCCTCCAACGTAACTGGAAGGTCATGCCGCCGTCATTCAGCTGTGAAAGGCCTGCCTTGTGGAAACCTGATACCTGGGTGCTTCTGCTCCATGTGTCTCCTTTTGGTATCCCGTCCCTCCTCCCAAAGTGACCACCTGCTTCACTCAAGTCCCTTTTCCCTTCTTGAGAAACGACCATGTCAAGAGCCCGCCAAAGATAATTTACTTCTTTTGTGTTTAGGGAAAAACTAGCAGTACTTTGACTGATTAGTGTTAAATCTGTAGGCCAATGATACTGTATAAATGATCCATATCCAGAAATGCTCTGTGGTTGCATTCGAGGTAACAGAAGCTTTTGTTTGTCTGGCTGGCTGCTCATATCCCCTTCTGGACAGACATACCAAGCCATAATAAAACATGACAGACAAGCCCGTTGATCTACCTTCGTATTTGGCATTGGATCAGCGGTACTCAGGCACGTTATAGAAATGAAAGAGAAAGAATACAGAGCTGAATGACTGTCATGTACTGTCAACTCCTGGAGTCCCAGACCATTTGCTATGATTTCAAGAACAAGGGCTCATTCATTTGGCATATGTTTATAATCATAAGGTCTTTTTGGGTTAATTGTTAATTTTCCTAATTTAGTTTATACTTAATTACACTACTTTCTAAGTTTATCTTAAAATAAGCAAAGAAATTAATAATTGTGATTAAGTTGAGTAATGACAGTAAAAAGTGCAGGGACTTTTTGCAAATATCCTCTTATGCATATCTCTGAACTTGTAAGCTTCTGAGGAGAACCCCCACTTTTTCAGTTCTGCTTGGATACCTTTCTTTAATGTTCTATAACATAGCTTGACAACAATCCCCCCCCAAAGTTGGGGGTTTATCCAAAAATGCATTTACCCCCCCCCCCCTTTTTAATTGTCTCACTTTAATTTTTTTTAACATCCTCTTTTCCTTATATCTCTTTCTGTGTGTTTCAAATTCCCCCTTGATTTCTGTTGCGTGCCTCAGCTTCCCCCCACAGCTTGCTGCCAGAAATATGTCAGAACGTTTAGGACACAATGGCCCAAATAGTTCAAACATGGTAAGCCTGTGTGCTAGGCCAAAATCAAAATATTTATCAAAACTATATGATTATGCTTGAAAATAAACCTTTGAGGGATAAAGGGATAGTTGTGTCCCACGATTATGCGTATGAATGTGGATGCATTCTTAACTTCTCACTCTGTTTTTATAAACCCAATAATATTTCTTATGCTTTTCCCTGTGAACATTTTTTCTGGACAATTATCTCATCTAGCAGTAATCTGTACAATGCCAATAAGACTAGCAAAAGAGAAAAACAAGATCATGTGAAAGGTTTGTCAGTTATTTGGGTCTGTTTTTATTGACTGGATTAGGACAGGATATATTCGGGCAAAATGAGCTGTGTTCGAGCCCATGGGGAAGACAAATTCCCTTTGATTTCTCCCAAATGCTGTGAGTGTGGGATCTGAAGGACACTTTAAAGATTTTGTAAATGGCTGCATCAGTTGGCCTGATTTGAATTTGCTCTACCCAAGATAATTAAATAAAGCTGTGTTTTTTGGTACTGTTTTTTTTTTACCCCTTCAGTTTTCACACATTTCAACTATAACTGATGCATATAATGTTGCAGCTTGAGGTCTTGATAGATTCGTGTTTCAAGGTACTATGAGGCCATGCGGAAAAGCACAATGTGATAGAAAGAAGGGAGGAGGACAGATGAAGCAACAAAGTGAAGATCAGGTTTTATATACCTGCAAGCGGCTGGAATCACCTTTGGAATGAGCATTATCCTATTCTCCGGCATAATCATGCTCAGTGGCTAAATGCTATTTTTTCAAAGAATTTTAATTTTACCTCAAAGCATTGCATGCTTTCTTCAGTATTCCCAACCATGCAGATCCAGTCTATTTATTGACTTGTGTTAATTTGCAGAGGGCTTGTTATGTGACCTAGGACTGGCATCAACAGACTACAAATAACTGAGACAATAGTTCATATCACACAGAACTGTATGCACCACCTAGATCTGCAGTCTTAATTTGGACATTGCAGGAAACACCAGAACTGTTTTCTTCTAACGATCTCATTTGTTTGAAACACTGCATTTTAGCTGCATGGCGGGAGTGGCATATGGCTGCTGAATAAGTGATGCATATTACAAAACCTCTTAAAACTGTTGCTTCTTTAGCTTCGTCTCAGGTTCCTCTTGTTTCCAGCAACTTGTTATCTTGCATAACAGAGAGGCAGTATCAGTGAATGAGGAAGGGATTCGTGGCCTATGTGGTAACTGTGTTCTTGACTGTGGTGTAAAATTATATTAATTTTTCTGCTAATATTATTATTTCTAGCACATTGACATTAACATTAAAATACATATATTTGTAAGGTCAGACAAGATTATCGGTCTTATTTTTTTTCCAAGTTATTATTCCTTAAATCTTTGTTTTTTATCATAATCACAATAAACATAGGAAACTAATCACCAAAGTGACTCATATCCTGTTTCATTCATCACAACTATGAATAGGCTTTTGCCATTTTCTGTTGGCCGATAGAACCTTTGTTAAATCCTCCTGAATGGTTACAGTAGGCATTTGTAGTGATTGTCTCACTGAAATGACTGTGGTACTAGAGCTTTGCTACTGTCTTGTGGTGCAACATCATTAATCAAAAAGTACTTCCAATAGTGTTGTCACCAATCACATTACATTCTCTCGAATTTAAAAAAAACAAACAACAACATAAAAATCCCTTTCTATTGGTAGAGACACATCATCGTGGAACAGCTTTGTATATTTCGAGGAGTGGGTGGTGGAGAGCTTGGTACTAACAAAACAATAGGTTCTGTGTTCCAAAAAGGAGAGTGGGTATTACCAGTCAGCATGTTTGTGGACACATGCCTAGTAATGTTGTCAACAAACTTTATCATTGATGTGATGATCTTTTTACATTGCAAACAGCGATAGTGACAGTTGTTGAAAAGCTAAGCATGAATTTCAGTTGGCCTAATTTAAAGTGATATAAATATGGTAAATTTGGTAATTATTTGAAGGTATAATGTATACCTTATGTACTCTGATGGCCTCACCCAACCTAATGTGTGCTACTACAGCGTAATGAGGTAGATCATTGTCATCAGCTTTGTAAAAACTTTCAGCTGTAGTGATAAAAAAATTAATAACAAATCTACGGTTAATTGCTGAAAAGGAATTCATAGCTCTTGTTATTGAACAGAACTACAAGCTTAATGTGGGATCCTATACAAGGGTGCAACTGTTTTCCTATTAGATTAGTGTTTGTGGTTGTACATCTGTATTAGAGTAGTAACTCTTTTAGGTGATTTATTTGTTACCATACATTTCTCCACCTTGGTGTGTTTTTGGTTTTTTTCTTTAAATAAAGTACCTGTGACCCTCACTTTTGTTTCTATTGATGTTTGAGTTGATCTGTACGCAGGGGATTTGGCTGTTTCCTCAGGGCAGGGAGTGGTCTGACTTCAACCAAGTTTCCAAAACGTAGTGCATCCTGGAGGGAAGGGAAGGCACTTATAGTTAGATAGGCTATATTGTCTGAAGGAGTTTTAACACCATCTAGTGTTCACTTTTGGGTCTTTTAACCCAGGCTCCTTACAAAGTGGGATGTGGATAGAATTTGTTCAAAGTCTGTCTTTTGTTTTTGCAGGAAAACAAAGAGAATTTGTGCTACAACGAGGCTTGAATTGAAGAAAACAAAAACAAGGTATTTTAGGAATTTAAGGTTTAAGACTAGTATTCCATATTTTATGCTGTAAAGAGTTTTTGCCAACTAACTATGATTTTTTTCTGTTGAACCTGCTATTTTTATGGCTATGTTTACAGATGGCTGACGAAGAGGAGACAAGGGAGGTACTCTTTCCAGATTGGGAAGGTGCTGACAAAACTGGCATGACCATTGAACAGACAAGTGGAGGACAGCTCTTTGTTAAGGAGGTGAAAGGAGAGTCACCAGCAGCACGGTCTGGAAAAGTATATGAAGGTAACAAATTCAGTTTTTGTTCAAATATGTAGCTTTCACCAAATGTTTAGTAAGATGTGCACGCTGACTTTTGCGCTTTTGTTTTTTTGTGCTGCTTCCACTTAAATCATAGGTGACCAAATTGTGGGTGCCACTATCTACTTTGAAAATATGAGTTCTGAAGAAACAGCAGAGCTACTAAAGACACTGAACAAACACAAGGTTGGACTGAAACTACAAAACAAAGGAGACAAATCCCCTTACTACTCACCGCTGAGCACACCATGTCGTTCACCAGTCAGCACCCTTACATGGGAAGGAAAGACCCGCTTTGGAGATTCCAGTCCAGATATCATTCTTGTAAGTTCTTTTTAAAAAACAAAAAAGGGGAAAAAGCCCCCCAAACAAACGAAAGAAAAACCAACTACATTATCACTCATATGTCTGCAGGAAAGCTAGTGGACTAAAACAGGGTGTGCTGTAACACTTGCATGTTTGTGTCATTCAATCAACAGAGTGGGGATGATGAAGATTATAAGCGAATATACACAAGAAAGATAAAACCAAGGCTGAAATCTGAAGACCTTGCAGAGGGAGTGGATGTTCGCACGGAGCGGCACAGCAGCACAAGCAGCGATGGCAGCACAATTACTACCATCACTCGTCGTATCACTACTTACACAGTAGATATGCCAAGTGGCATAAGTGAGCAACTTGAACTTTCAAGCCCAGACGTCAAAGGGCTAAGGCACGAATCTGGAGATGGATCTTCTCATATCAGAATCTCACATGGCAGCCCTTCAGGTAAAATGGGAGCAGAAGAAGGTGTTTTTGAGTCAGGCGACATAACTTACACTGGGCCAAATATCACTTCCACTGTGACACGCTGGGGCAATGGTGGGGTTCAAACTACAACGCATATAGGAGAGGAAAAAGAAAGAAGTGATCTTAGATTTAAGGTTCCTAGCTTTGGAGTAACAGGTAGTAAATGCCATGAAGGCACTGAAACTTCAAGAGGGAGTAGCGAGCAAGGAGATGAAAGTGTTCAGGATTCAGAAATGACTGTGACACTAAGAGACAACAAAAACACTGCCGGCAGCCATGTTACAGCTGGGTCAGGGGGTGCTGGGATAATTTCAACTGACGAAAACGGAGGGTCGGGTAGACTGTCTTTACCAGGAAAAGGAATGAAAATTTTGACTGCAACCACAGAGAAAACACAGATGGGAAGTTCAGACAGTACTTTAGATGAGAGGACAAAAGTTAAGATATCTGGAATTACAATCAGTCCCCTGCAGACGAAAGGATCAGGTAGTACTGACATTCCACATATCAGAATAGGAGGGTCGACAGATACTAGTGCAAATTTGAAAGATGGCAGGATAGAAAAATCAACAATAACATTAGATAATGTTACCTCGGGACTTTCTTCAAAAAAATCTGAACTGGACATCAAAGGAGCCGGTGTTCAGATCAAGGGCCCCAGAGCCAACACTGAAGGGTCAGTTTTGAGTGTAAGACATTCAGAGTCTGAAAGTGACATCGGAAGTGCTGAAATCAACTCTAATATTCAAATCAAACTCCCAACAACTGATAGCAAATACAAAATGGATGTTAATGTTCCATCCATATCTGGGCTGAATAAGGTTGAGGGAAAAGGTGATTTAACTGGTGAGAGAAAAACAGCAGGACTGAAATTTGACATTAAAGGTTCAAATACAGACACTGAGAGGAAAGAGGGAACAAACGCTCATGTACAAATTCCTGAAGCTGACATTAAAGCAATAAAACCTTCTATTGACAGTAAGGATGTAAAAATTAAAGGACCCAGTGTTGATATTAAAAGAACACAAGTAAATGTCACAGTGCCTGCTGCAGAATTTGGAGTTCCAAAAGCAGAGCGTCTAGATGTTGATCTAAAACTTTCCAAATCCAAAACTGACACCAAAATACCTAAAGTTGAAAATAAAGCAGGGATAAAAGGGGAGATAAAAACACACGAGATTGATGTCAAAGGTCTAGAGATAAACCTTCCCAGGACTGGTATTGATGTTAAAGCACCTGATTTTGATATTACAGGACCGCAAGTGGACACAGAAGACCTTGATGTGAATCTCAAAGGATCAAAAATAGAACCTCCATCATTGTCGGGAACTAAACTGAAAGATTTGGATATGAGTGTGAAAGGTCCCAAAATGAAGGGAAATGTTGATGTTCCAAACCTTGAGAGGGATATAAAAACTCCAAAAATGAAGATTGAAGGAAAAGAAATTGACAGTGAAGGCCAAACCAGTGGACTTATTATGTCCAATATTAAAATGCCATCTCTTTGCATAAAAGGTCCAAAGCCTGAAGGTCAGGATGTGAATATTAACCTTTCCAAGACTGAAATTAATGTTAAAGCACCTGAAGTCGATGTATCATCATCACGGGGACCCAAATTGGAGGAGTTCAACAACACTGTAAAAGGGCCAAAACTCAAGGGAGATGTTACTGTATCAGCTCCAAAGATTGAGGGAGACCTACAAGCTCCAAAAGTGGACATTGAAGGAAGATATGTTAATATTGAGGGCCATAAAGGAGGACTTAAAATGCCCAAAGTTGAGATGTCATCCTTTGGTGTGAAAGGTCCAAAGGTTGAAGGTCCAGATGTTGATGTAAACCTTCCTAAAGGTGATATTGAAATGAAAGCACCCAACATTGATATTAAAGGAGCGGACATTGATGTTGAGGGTCCGAGTGGAAAGATCAAAGGACCACAATTCAAGATGTCAGGTATATCCGGGCCCAAAGTTTCCATGCCTGATGTGGATTTCAATCTGAAAGGCCCCAAAGTTGAAGGTGAGGTGGATATTCCAAAGATTGAAGGAAAAGTGAAAGCACCAGGACCAGGAGTTGACATTGAGGGACCGAAAGTTGACATTGAAGGTCCAAAAGGTGGATTTGAAATGCCCAAAATTAAAATGCCAACATTTGGCTTTAAAGGTCCAAAGGTGGAGGGTCCAGATGTTGACATAAAACTTCCCAAAGCTGATGTGAATATCAAAGCACCTGAAGTTGATATTAGAGGACCAGAAATCGAAGGCTCTGATGCCAAACTCAAAGGACCCAAATTCAAACTGCCATCACTGTCAGGACCCAGCCTACCAGACTTTGACATTAATTTGAAAGGGCCCAAACTCAAGGGAGATGTTGATGTGTCCGCTCCAAAGATTGAGAGAGACATAAAGGCACCCAAGGTGGACATTGAGGGACCAGATGTTGACATTGAGGGCCACAAAGGAGGACTTAAAATGCCCAAATTCAAAATGCCAGGCTTTGGTATGAAGGGTCCAAAAGTTGAAGGTCCAGATGTTGATGTCAGCCTTCCTAAAGGGGAAATTGACATCAAAGCCCCCGAAGTTGACATTAAAGGAGCTGACATTGATGTGGAGGGTCCGAGTGGAAAGATCAAAGGACCAAAATTCAAGATGTCAGGTATGTCCGGGCCTAAAATTTCAATGCCTGATGTGGATTTCAATCTGAAAGGCCCCAAAGTTGAAGGTGAGGTGGATGTTCCAAAGATTGAAGGAAAAGT